CCGCAATAGCACTTGAAGATGTTCCTGTCAATTTGCAAAACTCAAAGGTAACCAAACGTAACTCAAGAAGCAATAAAGTTGTTGTTGTTTCCATTCTCAGTGATAGGAGCTGCCCAGACCTGGCTAAACTCACTCCCCATTAATTCTATCACTACTTGGGAGGAGTTAGTCAAGCAATTTGTGAATAAGTTTCATCCACCCAACAAGACTGCTCATCAAATTGATGAAATTTTGAGCTTCAAACAGAAATCAATGGAGACACTACAAGAAACGTGGGAACGATTCAAAGGGATGTTGGTTATATGTTCGCACCACGGTATTCCAGATCAGATGTTGGGGCAGCAGTTTTACATGGGTTTGACAGATAGCGTGAAGGCTAATGTTGATGATTCAGCTGGTGGAGCATTCTTGATCAAAACATGAAGAGAAAGCCAGAGCCTGCTTGACAAGATAGCACATAATTCGGGGTGGACAACCAGGAATGCACCTATCACTCCAGTAGTTCACTCAGTGCCCTTAGATCCATCCAACACTCTTGCTGAAAATATGGCCACATTAATGATACAGATAAGTATACTCACCAAAAAGGTGGAAGAGTCAGGGCAGAAGCAGCAGGTACACATTATTGATACTACCAATGGGGGTTTATGCACATCTTGCATTAGTCAGCCAATTGGTAACCAGTGGAACGCAGAAAGTGAGCATCATCATTACCTTGAGGACATGAATTATGTGTCTAACTATGGGGCCAGAGACAGGGTGGTTAGAATTAGGGCCAACAAAATCAGCCATACAGGCCAGTCCAGCCACAGCTCAATAATGGAAATATGGGAGGTATGCGACCTCACAATAATATGGCGCCTTACCAAAGGCCACAGGGATATAACAAACAAAACCAGCAGTAGGGTTATCATCCTCCTTAGAAGTAGCATGGTGGAAGATAGAAAGATGGGTTTTCTCGACTTGAGGCAATAATGCAGCAGGTTATTGGGTCAAATGCAAAAATGAGTGAAAGGGTAGATGCACATGAGTCAGCTATAAAGAATATTGAAGTGCAGATGGGCCAGATTTTGATGTCTTTGAATAATCATCCTTACGGGACATTACCTGCAGACACTCAAATAAATTCAAAAGATCAAGGCCCGAAGCAGCTGATGGCAGTGAGTCTACGTAATAGTAGAGACTTAGACTTGGAGCAATACAGGGCTCGAGAAAGCAGACAAGTTGAGAAACTTGTACTAGTGCCCATTGAGCTAGATGATGTAATGAAACTGACAGAGGTGACAGTACAGCCTGCCCAAGAAGAAACCAACACACAGATTGAGGCTGAGAAAGAAGCTGAGACAGCCAAGGAACCGGTAATTGAGATGGTGTCTGACAAAGAAAATAACCAAATCATTGGGAAGAATAGACCTCAAGCACCATTTCCATAGAGGTTGGCCAAGTACCAGAAAGAGGAACAATACAAGAAATTCTTGGAGATGCTGAAACAAATCTAGGTAAATATTCCATTGATTGATGCGTTGAAGGAGATACCTGGTTATGCAAAAATGATGAAGGACTTGATGTCCCAAAAATTCAATTTCCAAGACTTGGCCACAGTGACTCTTACTCAGACCTGCAATGTTGTGGTGACTAGACCAGTTGCTGAAAAGATGTCTGACCCAGGGAGTTTCACAATTCCCTGCACCATTGGTAACTTTGTTTTTGCCAAGGCACTTTGTGATTTGGGGGCTAGCATAAATCTTATGCCCCTGGAGATCTATAAGAGGTTGGGGATTAGAAGATCTAGACCCACTTCTATGTTATTACAACTGGCTGATAGAACCGTGAAAAGACCCTCTGGTATCTTGGACGATGTTTGATTCAGGTAGGGAAATTTGTGTTCCCTGTATATTTTGTAATTCTAGATTGCAAGGTGGACGAAGAAATTTCCATAATTTTGGGAAGGACGTTCTTGGACACTGGGAGAGCTCTCATTGATTGTGAAACTGGGGAGCTCAAGATGAGGTTGAACAATGAGGAGATAACATTCAATGTGTAGAAATCTATGAGGCGACCGAGTGAATTCGCCAATTGCTCTTTTATTGATGTCGTAGATGTAATCGTAGAAGCAGATGATGAGACATTGACTATTGAGGACCCTCTTGGTGCATGTTTAGTAAATTTAGATGAGGTGAATGGGGAAGAATTAGCAGAATGGGTGATGGCTTTAGAGGGCAAAGGGTTCTGGGATAGAACACTTGAATTCGAGCCCCTGCACCGAGAAAATAGAGAAAATCCTCCAGCCAAACCATCCATAGAAGAACCACCAAAGCTGGAGTTGAAGCCACTACCTTCCCATCTCAGGTATGAGTTCCTTGGACCTAACTCCATATTACCCAATTGTTTGAATGGCCTATCTGTTTGAACCCTTTTACCTCCCATGAGCACCTAAATGGTTATGAAATATGCAAAAGCTAAAGTGTGGGGTGGTGGTTTGGTTTTTGAGTGGAACTGATGAAATAGAGAAAAGGTGCAGTTTTTGAAAAAGTAAAAGAATAAGCACCACTTAAAAAGAAATAAAAAATAAGAAAGAATGAGTAAATGTAATATTTGATAAGTGGTGATCTGATACAATTGCACCTAATGGAGCGGGATGTTAATGTGGTGGAATGTCTGCTTGACATAAGTATGGTTTTGAATGTTAATGTGATTGTATTAAAAGTGCTTAGGGAGGTTAGTCACTATATTCAAATATATCCTAGTCACTATATCCAAATATATCCTACATGTCCCTTAGCCTACATTACAACCAACTGAAGTCCTAATTGATCTTACACTAAATGGGTTCGATTAGTAGAGTAGTACACTACGGGCAAACCTATGGTGCATCTGTGTGGCATATGAATTTTCTTTTGGAGAGTGAGTGGATTTTGTCTATATAAGTTCTTAATTGTTCTTAATATTATTATTTGTGGAACTACTCTCTTGTGTGATATGAGGGAATGTGATTCACGAAGGAAAGGTAAGTCTTAACTTCTGTATAGAGTAATTTGAGTAAGTACGAATATCGCACGGTACGTGAGAGTCGACTTTTGAGGCAAAGATTGTTCACTCCTAGATGTAACTTTGGTGATTTGTTCTTGGTGTGATATGTTAAGGGAAAAGCTTAGTGAAGGAACCTTTATAGAGTGGTGGGTTGCTCGAGAACTAGCAATGATTTAAGTGTGGGGTATTGATAATAGGCTAGATTTATGTAATTTGGCGACTGTTTATGCCCCAGCTTGACTATGTTTCACTGTTCTAGGATAGTTAAATGATGATAAATTGGCTTTAATTGTGAATTTCATGTTTTGCAGGAGCGAGTTGCACTTATGAGGACTTAGGACTGTGTTTGGAGCTAAATTGAAGCAAGGGAAGACCCTCGGAGCTGAGTGTGGTGAAAGAAGAGCTGAAATGATGATCCAGTTTAGCGCGACCGCGCTAGCCCAGGAATTCGAGGCAGAATACTATGCCATATGTGCGGTCATCAGCGCGACCGCGCTAGTCCAGTTCAGAAAATATAATTCAAGGGTAAACTTGGAAGTTCGGGAGTAATTTCACTTAATCTATAATAGGTCCAGCTCGCCCAAAGGGACATTATCAAGGTTTTTACAGCTTAGTTGAAGGCAAGGAGGATAATTCAACATCGAGTTCTTCCTTTTGTATTTTACCATTTATGATGAATTTTGTTGTTGTTATGATGAACAAGATTATGAGTAGCTAAATATTTAGTCTAGGGTTTTGATGGAACCTATTGAAGGATGAACTTCGTGTTATGTTAATATAGTTTGACTGGTTTAATCTCTATTTGTTCAACTACGTTCTTGTTGTAGTTAATTGATAGGATATATCCTCAATTAGTTGTGCCTATTTAGTATGTATTACTCGGGAGAGAGTGAATATTTAGGTAATTGTTGAACAACACCACTCCCAAAGTATATGAGGGATCAATAACCGAGGGTTTAAAGGCGGGATTAGGGATAACGAAGCCTTGGGTGCGATCTAAAGTGAGCTATAATAAAAGCCATCTAGCGTAATTCGGGAGAGTGCATCTAGTAAATTGTCGTGATTACTCGGGAGAGATTTACGATAATAAGACTACTCATGATCGATAGAGACGATTAGGCAAATCTATGTGAAACATAACAGGAAGGGATTCCATCAATATGGGAAATCATAACCTTAGATCCTTCTCTTATTTGTTCACAACTCAATCATAGTTAGATGTTAGTTTACTTGCTTTTATTCAGTTATAGTTAGTTAAACTATCATCAATTGTTATTCAAATATCTGGGAAGTTGATTACAAAGAATTTAGTGAGTCTAACAAAAGTATTGGTAGGTTAATTATCTGAGAATTCGACTCTGGGCTAAATACTCGGATTATATTTGTAGCGACCACTTTATCCTTTTTATAAGACATAGTTGGGCGTGTTCATTTTGCAAATTGCAAAACAGGTGTTCAGTAAATCAAGTGTACACGTGCATAATATCAATATGCTCAATGATCATATGCGATATAAGCTAAGCCATGAATTTTATAAAGAATGTTCAAGATTTAATTAATATATATCCATAAAAAGTAATTTTTGACCTATATAAATAGTATAGTTTTTTATATGCTCAGTGCAATTTCCTGATGAAGGATGTTCAGTTGAACACACTTCACTCTATATGGCTACGCCAGTGGATAGAATTATATATACAGTTCAACTATAGTACCAATATTTAATACTCCTTCTGTCCTAATTTATGTGACGGTGTTTAAATAAGACTTTTGAAGCTTTTGGTTCTAAAACAAGTCATGGCGAGTATGGCTATAAATCATCTCATACTATATAAGGTCAAAATGAGAAACTTAAAGTTACATAGATTTTTTCTAAATACAGCAATGTGACAAAAGGAGTATAAAATAAGAAACTGGGATATTGATAGGATAATACTAGTGTTGCAATACAAAATTCAAAGATAAAAACGTAGAGGAGCTGTCTTGATGCGACATGTAATTATAAATACATAGGGTTGTTTAGCTTCCCTTCTCAACCTTCAATTCTCTTCTAACCCCTTCTCCCAATATGGCAGTTTCCAAACTTTTTCTTGCACTGTTTCTTGTTTTCATGGTACTAACCCTAGAAGAAGCAAATGGTGCAGCAACTGGAAAGACGAAAAAATTAATTGATATGGCTAACAGAAGAGGACCTTACTTGGGATTGATCATTCCTAACCTGTTTGAGATGAATCCTCTTCTTCATCACCCTAGTTACAAACCTACTAACCTTACCATTGACTATGCAGGTAACATAATATAAAACCATATATACTAGTTAATTAATCAATGTTCTACAACGCAAAACCTTAAAAATAAGTTTCTTTTATTCACTTGCTTATCATTGTTTTCTTCTTTAATTAATCACGGAAGGGAGGAGATTTCGGTTTGGATATATTGATAATCAGCCTGTTGTTCTTGTTATGACTGGACTTGCCATGGTATGTATTTTCTATTTCCTTTTTCATGTGATATTAATTACTCCTTATAAGTAATATATATGGATTTGAAGTTGTACGAAGGACGTACGTTCTAATTTTGAGCTTTTAAATTTTCTTTTTGCATTCAGCTAAATGCAGGCATAACAACACAACTGTTGCTAGCGTTGTTCAAGATTAAAGGTGTGGTGCACTATGGAATTGCAGGAAATGCAAATCCATCTCTCCATATTGGAGATGTTGCTATTCCTCAGTACTGGGCACATACTGCTCTTTGGAATTGGCAGGTTTTTAGCTACTTTTCCATACATTTTAATGGAGTTATTGTCACAATACACACACACACACAAAAACGTCTATTTCCAAAAAAAAAAAGAAAAAAAAAAAGTGCTTCTTTGAACAAATTAAAGTCAAGCAATCTTATCTCCATTACAAGTAACTTTTAACTATATATGTCAAAGATTGGGATAGCAAAAATATACTCATCAAAGTTCCTGTTTTTCGAAGCTTCTAAAATTAGTCTATTGTGAAAAGTATTTTTTGTTTGAATTGCTTTTTGAAAAATAGTCGTTTGTGTTTTTGGCAAATCAATTTAGAAAAATACTTTTACTTATATTAGAGCAACAATTTTGTGTTTGACCAAGTCTTTCAAAAGTGCTTTCGGAGAGAAATCTTCTAAAAAATAACTTATGCAACTCTAAAAATGTATTTTTGTACTTTTTTTTACCTAAAAGCTTGACTAAACACTTAAAATCTCTAAAATAAACACTTTTTTAACCCAAAAAAAAAACCTTTGACTTTCCACAAACTTGGTCAAATAACTTATAAGTTGTAGAAAAAAAGTTAACGTTCTTGAACCAAATTATTGACCAAGCTCCAGCAGTTTTCGTAGAAGTTACGTTCTTGCATGAATTTTCTGAACAAACGGACCAGTGTTTGTTGTGTTAATATATTTGATACAAAATTAGTTTTGATTCACGGGTACCTCCCAACACCATCTCCTCAAATAAAACTGATAAATTAAGCTACGTCATTTTCATGTTAAAATTGAAGATAAAAAAAAAGGTTTAATTTTAAGTTACTCTTATCGGAATTATGCAAAATAAAAATAACAACAATGATAGAAGAACATTTTTTAAAAAAAATAGAAGAACATTTAAGTTAAAATAGAAAAAAATAATCTTTTGTTCTTAAATCCATTTTATTACTGCTGAATTTGACAAAAGGCAAACTTATATAAAAAAAAAAAAACTGCAGAGATATGGAGATGGCCCTCAGAATGAACTACCCCTTGAAGTAAATGGAGACTACACGAGAGATATTGGATACTTGAAAATTTCCGAATACTCAGTGAATGTGACAAATTGCAACTCACATAACAATCTTCTTAACAACGTTTGGTACCAACCTGAAGAAGTATTCCCTGTATTTGGCACTCCTGAGGAAAGACAACATATCTTTTGGGTCCCTGTTGACCCTCGTTACTTTGCAATCGCCGAAAAGCTCAAGGTAAACTATACTTCCTAACCACTTACTATTTGGAGGGTTAAATAATTTTTTTTAAGTGTAACCTTTTAACTATTTTAAAATATTAATTATTGTGATTTATAGTAATATTTAATTTTAAATATATAAATTTTATTTTAAAAATTTAAGGATTGTATGCCCGTCACACCGAAAGTTAAAATGTTTGATCCTCGTAACCTGAATTGTGTCATGTAAAGTGGACGGATGGATCGCATATTTTTTAAAAATCTAAAGTATTTACAATATCAAGTTGTAGTGGAGTATGTCGTACGATAATTTAATTGAAATATTTTGATGGCCGTAATAATTAGTTGTGAGGGTCATAATACACGTTTTAAATTGCGTGGTTCAAGATTATTTTTCAGATTGAAAACTAGCCGTTATATAGAACGCGCCCCACGCGCAATTCACATCTCCAACTTCTGAACATATCACATGGCAGTTCACGCGCCGACGGGATCCATTCGGCGAGTGCTATCCATCCCACCCACCACCGACTTGATACCAACACTTTATCGGAACAACAGTTGTACCTAGTTGTTTTGGATTAGTTCTTAGCTTTCATGCTTATCCTTAGATTAGATATAGATTTAGAGTTATCCTTTTAGTTCATACTTATCATTCAGTTAGTTAGCTTTAGATAGTGTTTTGATTTGAATAAGTCTCCTAATTCAAGGAGTACTTTTAGGAAGACTTGTATTTAAACTTAGCTTGGCATTTAATATACATACAGTTTTCCATCATATTCTTAAGTGTTCATATGGTATCTGAGCCTATACAACTCTAACGAGCACGATCCAATTTTTTTTCTTCTTTCCAATGACGAAAGATGGAAACACTACTAGAATTGTCAATGTCGACAACACTACCAGCACCACAACTATCATCCAATTCAACCATGCTTCCCAACTACTTATCAAATTTAGTGGCAGTCACAATTTTGCCACTTGGAAAGCTCAGTTCTCCATGCTTATGCACGACCATGATCTCTATGGTCACCTTGATGGGTCTACCCTGATTCCCACACCGACCACTACTTTTGGCACCAATACAACTCATAATCCTGCTTATACGCTTTGGTTTGGTTCCGTCAGGATCAACTCATCCAGAACGCTCTTATGGCGTCTGTTGACCCTACCATTGCTTCCACAGTTGTTGCTGCCAACACATCCAAACATGCTTGGGACTCCTTGCACACTGCTTATGCAAACAAGTCCCAGACTCGGATTTTCAGCCTTCGTGACCAACTTGCACGAATCACAAAAGACAACATTCCTATTACCAAGTACCTCCAGCGTATTCGGTCCCTCTCTGATGAACTTGCCACTGCAGGTGCTCCGGTCACTAACTCTGAACTTATCGTCAAGATTCTTAGTGGACTTGGCCCTGAGTTTCGTGAGATATCTGCTGCCATACGAGCATGTGACACCACCGTCACCTATGAGGAATTGTATGAAAAATTGCTCGATCACGAGCTCTTTATCCGACATGAGGATGCTAAGAAAACTCTCAGTCCTATCACAGCGACAGTTGCTACCCACAACAAACAGACCAACACTGCCCACAATCGCAACAATCGCCGCCAATCCTATAACAACACCTCCCAACCACGGCGACAAAATACTCGCTCCAATTCATCCACCCAGTGGCAACCTCAAAACAATAACCCCGTGGGTGTTATTCGTTGCCAATTATGCAACAAGATTGGTCATATTGCAAATGTATGCCGATCCAAGTCACATAATCATTTTGAGGCCAAAGACAATTATATCACAGGCTTCAACACTACTGTCGACCCATGGATAGTGGACTCGGGTGCCACCCACCATGTCACAACCGAACCTCATAACCTACAACCATATCACGGCAACGAGGATGTCTCCATGGGTGATGGTAACAAAATTCTCATCTCACATATTGGTTCTACTCAGTTAAATACATCAAATAATGTTTTAAGCTAACTCACACTCTATGTGCTCCAGCTATCAAACGAAAGTTTCTGTTTCTAAATTTTGTCGGGACAATCTAACATCTGTTGAATTCTTTCCTTTTTCTTTTCTTGTGAAGGATCTGAAAACGCGAACCCCGCTGGCACGAGGCCGGACCAAAAATGGACTGTATGAGTGGCCCAAAATACATCCACAAGCTCACACAATCCCTGACCACTTGGCACCAAAGATTGGGTCACCCGCATTCTAGAGTTCTTGCATATGTCATGAATAAATTCTCGCTCCCATTTGTTGAGCAAGACAAGTTTCTTTATTGTAATTCTTGTCTGTCTAATAAAGCCCATCGGCATCTGTTTCACACATTAACTCTGGAAAGCTCTAAACCTCTTCAAATTATTTTCAGTGATTTATGGGGACCCTCTCCTAATGCTGTATTCTAGCCCGGGCCCGGGCCTAAATGGGCCAAACGGGCCGGGCCTAACGAGCCTGGGCTTAGCGGGCCTGGGCTCTGGCGGTCCCGGGCTTCGTGGGCTCAAGTGGTGGAACCGGCCCGTGACAGGCCTAAGCCCATATGGTCCTGGGCTAAACGGGCTGGGCTCGTGGGCTTAGCGGGCCTAACGG